GTGGGGAGAGGAGGTGGTGGTGGGCGTGGGCGGGGGGGGAGTACCCTTTAATGGAGACGGACGATCAGGAGGGGGTGGGATCGGGCTGAGTGGAGTGGTGCGCAGGGTCGCGGGTGGATTATCAGTGTTGATTGGGCAGATTGTTGTCTCATTTTTATCTTGCAAGTGCAAAGGTGCTTAGATGTCGCACAGCAAGGGGCCAGCACACTTACACGCACAAACCACTGTAACGCATGCGCACGCATCCACACGCAAACACCTGCACGGAAATGTATCTTCCCCCACCCCCTCAGATCAACCCCGAGGCTGCCGAGCTCGTGTTTGAGCGCACCGCGCTGCTCAAGTGGCTGCTGGCGCGCGTGCGGCGGCGCGCCAGTGACAGCAACCGCCTGTACGCCTCGGAGCTGCTCGCCATCCTCGTGCAGGTGAGATCTGGGTGATCTGGACCGCAACCTAGGGCGCCAGATCTGGGCCGCGATCCGGGCTGGTTTTCGTGGACGCTTCCTGCCTCTTCCGCGTACGACTGACTGCGACGCCGCAAGCAAACTCCGCTATGTTTGCGTTTGCGCGCAGCCAACTGCGACGCCGCATGCGACCCCTGCCGCCGTGCGCTGTCTTCCCTAGGGGCGCGAGGCCAACCAGCGGCGGCTGGGGGCCGCGGACGGCATTGACGCCGTGCTGCTGTCCATCAGCCCCTACAAGAGCAGGGACCCGCAGGTACGCGTCGAGTGGAGGAATCCAGTTTATGTGTGTGTGTTTTGTGTATGTGTGTATGTATGTAGGTGCCTCTGTGTATATATATCAACGCGTGTGTGTATGTGTGCGCATGTGTGCGTGCGCACGCACGCGCGCGTGCGCGCGCGCGCGCGTGTGTGTGTGTGTGTGACAGAGAGAGAGTGTGTGAGAGAGAGGGAGGCGTTCATGTGTGTGCGTGTCCAACTCCTGAATCTAAGCCTACCTTTTTACACACGCCTTGGGTAGAAGTTGAGGTTTTAAGGGCTAGAGTTTGCAACATCGCCAATCTTTTTAACCTTGATTCCATCCCCAACATCAGGATGCTGAGGAGCAGGAGTACCTTGAGAACCTGTTTGACGCCCTCTGCTCCTGCCTCATGCTGCCAGAAAACAGGATCGCATTCGTGGCCGCAGAGGTGGGTGGGGGGCGCACACGCACGCGCGCATGCACACACACACACACACACACACACACACATATACAAACACACACATCATACATGCACATGCACACACACAACACGCAACACACACGCACACATGCAAGCGTCCATGATACACCCTTGGCTGCTCGCCTCGGATCGCCCCATGCAGCTGACACCTGTCTTCCGCGCAGCCACTGCTGGCGTTGCCCCCGCAAACGCCGCTGACGCAGAACCCCTGCCCC